ATTGAAGCACCGACTCCCATAAGATCACGGAAGTTAAGCAACGTCGGGCCTGATCAGTACCTAAATGAATAACCGCTTGGAAGTACCAGGTGATATAAACTTGGATGTGCGCTTGTGTAATGGAAAATGAATCTGAATTGTTAATGGAAGAGTCGAGTTTCAATTTCAGTTAGTTATATTCACTTACAGGCAAATATTCTTGGGAACGGTATGTATCCACCCCTTCTTCTTCCCCAGGTATGGGTTAATTAGTAAGACTTGTATCACAAAAATACATTATTATCTGTAAAACATAACAAAATAAAACTGAGTACAAAATATTTACATTTTGTTATTAAATAACCAATAGAGATGTTAATATGCCACTAAAGAAAAACAAGCAACCAACTAGTACAAAGACTAAATATAGGCAGTTTTGAATTATTATGGAATAAAAGGGTTCAATTGTAAGCTAAATTCTTTTCTGGATTCTCTTCTAGTATTCCATATCATAGAAGTGACCACCGCTTTATGGCCTTTTTTTGATATCTATAAAATGATTAATAAAATCAAGGAAATTTCTGTTTCAATTGTTCAAGAAGTAATATATAATGAAGCCGATAAATTGATATACACACGCTCACACACACACACACACACACGCAAACACACACACACACACACACACATATATATATATATATATATATATATAAGAGAAATATGTTGTAGTGGTTCCAACGAAAGAAAAGTATGTATATTAGAGAAGAGAGGTGCCGCAAACGTTTTTGGTTGTAATGTGGATTTATTTAGAAAAAAATATTATGCTTTGTTTTACATGATTTTTACGACACGTGTTTCTGGTCTCGTGACCGTCTTCAGGTAAAAGTGGAGATTTCACATATTATTAAAAATAATTAATTTTTCTTCATGTTCAATGTGAAATATTCTCGATATGAGACATTCTCTGTTTGTGTGTTGGTAATCCGAATTTCTTTCTTGAATTGTCAATGAAGAGTTCTGCGCGAAGGGTCATAAAACAATTAAGGTTGGTCCAGCGAAATGATGGATTAGTTATCGGCATTTTATCTTTTAATGTTTTACTGACCCCTATGTGTTCTTGGATCTGTTTCCATTTTCTTGTGTTTCTCTCAGCATGCGTGTATATATGCGTACGTATATTCCCCCTCCATACATATACTGTCTTACTACGAGGAATTAGTAAACCCATTTGTACATATACACGCATACATATATATATAATCACTGAACGAAATCTTTAAGTCTGAAGATTGTATTCAAGCATGAAGCATACTGTCGCCGATTGGTGTTCTGTCTCTGATATTGAGCACTTTTACCCTTAAATATACCTTAAAACTATATTTTTTGTAAAATATGTATGTGCGTGCGCGTGTACAATGGTTAGTATTAATGGGATAAATATTAATGATTAAATGTTCTTCAAACCTTTCTTTCTAATAAATTGAAGAATGAATTCAACAATCGTCAGTCTCCCGCGTTTTTATCATGATTGTGTTTAGTGCTTCAGTCTGAAACCACTGAGCCCCTTCAAAGTTTCTATTTTATATTTTATATTTGCAAATGTTGTATGATATTTTCTTTATCCCATAAATATAGACAATTAAAACCTATTTGTTAAGCATTTACAATCGATTCCAGCAGATGCCTATTTGATTACACACACACACACACACACACAAACACACACACACACACACACACTTACACATTTTAAATAATATATATATATATATATATATAATATCTATATATATATATATATATATATATATATATATATATATATATATATATATATATATATATAATATCATAAGATCAGAGACAGACTGTTTCGTAACTCATCATTGGGGTTAGACGTTCTACATATTCTAGCTAGGATTAACATTTTTGAAAGCGTTTTCTACCACTAAGCCGCTTTTTTTAAACTTAGAATGAAACTGAATTTATGAGCAGAATTTATGATAAACACATTTAAAACTAACTCGATTCGATTTGTAATGCGTCTTGCATTATTCGATATAATTGTCACTGTTTACAAAAACGTTTGAATAATGGAGCATATATATATATATATATATATATATATACAATATACAGCCAATCAGAAATATATATATATATATTTTTTAAATAATATCTAGGATATATATACGGAGACAAATATATATATATATATATATATATATATAAATATATATAAAACAATCATCGTTGCAGTTTCTTGCTCAGGCACATTTCTGTTTATAGAATGCCCACAGAGCCAACCTGTTTGCTTGATACTGGAATTTAAACTAGTGAACTGGGAGCAGATGAATGTAGACGATCAACAATTTCAACAACGTAATAACTCAAGCCCTTAATAAAATGTGGTGATTTTTTTTATTTTTTTGTACAACTCATTTTATTTATTCGGTACTTTAATGGTGTTACGTCGTTAATAATACTCACAAGGATTTTGGTTTCCTGAGGAATGGTTTTCAGGCACAATCAAAACACATTGGTTCAATGATTTAAAATTGTTTTGAATAGATTCACCTATTTATCCTCATTTTTTTTACATCAAGCATTAGTTGTCAAATTGTTTGTGGTTGAATTAAATTGCAAGCTTCAAATTATAAACCTTTAAATAAAAATTTTCCTTTTATCTACGGCCAGCAGAAAAACATGTCCATTCCATTATTATATGTTGAAAACGTCATGATATTCGTTAACAAATGGTTGATTCTGACTGGTTCTTGTCAAATTATAGAAACAAGTGAGAATATATAGATGGCATGATAGAATTTAATAAACCGTTAGAGCGAGGTCATTGCTCAGATGTACAGAGCTTCAGAGGGGTGATACATTCATTCTATTCATTTCCGCATATTGTAAATTAAATGTCTGCCTGCATACCAGCTTGCATACATCATCTGATTCACATCAAGATTACAGATGTATCCCGGAATTTTCTTTCATTTGACCTTCGAAAAAAATTTGCTTGACGATTAAATAAAAAAAATTCCATCGAGCATTGCGTTTTTGGCTGATTAAATTCTTTTCAATGTTTTACCATATTCAAATACTTTTTTATAATGAAAAATAAATTTCATTGTTGTCAAATCAAATAATCAAACAAAAAAAGGGATGAAATTTCATTTTGATTCAACTGTATGATGGACCCCTTTATTTTTCTCGCCTAAACTGTAAACCAGTATTAGGAGTATTTCAGGAATTTTTCCCTTTTTTCACTGACAATCCTTCTCAAACAATCTTTGCGTTAATGGTTGTTCGAATGCCAATCGAGGATGTAATCATAACAAACTATTGGCTCTGATTAAAAAGCCGATTTTGGACTTGGTTTATTAAAGATTTTTTTCAATCAAACTGAAATAATTTAAACGAAACATTCAGCAAGTTATTTTAAAAATATAAAAATTTATATGGCAAATTTTTAAAAAATGCAAAAGTGAAGCCGGCTTTTACAATAAACGGGCCTTTTGAAACAGTTTTTTTTTTTTTTCGTTTTTGTTGAAGGATAAAACCATCTTTTCTTGGTTTAAGATGGTTTTAATTTATTTGAAAAATATTCCAATTTTTACGGATGTTTAAAATAAAATTGGCTGGTAAAAATGAAGAAACTATTCAAATTTTTTTTTTTAATTCTTTACAAAAAAACATCGATTTTTTCCCTTCGTGTTTGGGCAATTTTTGTTCCGAAACTAATGTCGAGGAAAACTTATAATTGTATATACATAAAATACAATAACATGAAATATGTTTTGAATTAGATAATCGAACCTATCAATATATCAATGTTTATAACCACTTAAAAAAATTGTTCATGATTCTGAACTCAGCCTTGGTTTTTATGAAAAAAAATTTTTTGTATTTTCTGCCAAACCCGACGCGTCGACTGACAGCGAGTGATCATACTCAATTTTCTGAATCTGAATTTCCACTGTATATTATTAAATCGAAAAGATTAATATGCGACACAAACTGAATTAAACTGACGGAAATTTCTGTTTTTAATTTGAATAATTATATTTACGTTGAATGTTTATTTTCTATTGTACCGTGTCCCTTAGTCACGTTGGAACCAGTTTCTCCATATATATATATATATATATATATTTATTTTTTTTTATATATATATATGTTATACACAAGACGTTTGAAAAGTAGATCACTGCAATATGAGCATCTACTAAAAATGATTGATTTTGGGGTTGGTTTTAATACCCAGAAATTAGCACCAAACCCAAGTATTGGCAAAAACTTAAATGGCGGACAGAATCCAGTGATGTTTCCCATACCAAAAGAGTTCCTGGTGAAATCATTTGAGAACTTTAGAGGGGAAAACTGGCAGGAACATATAGAATTTTAAATAAAACATCCATTCCTTGAAAAAACAGTTCTAAATAAATTATCGATTTTAAAGGGTTCAGTTCGAAATTCCAACCACCTGAATATATATATATATATATAAATATATATATATAAATATGGCGACAAAGATTAGGACTGCGTTAGTATTTATTTTATGTAAATGTTTAAATTTTCATTTCTGTGCACAAATTTTTAGATGATAATGATTTTCAAAAGTTTTATAAGTAATTAACACTCAATTCAAATACAACAAAAGACGGATTTTTAACTTTCAACGGGTTTTAGTGTATATTAAAATTTGGGTGCGCCTCATCTCTCCACAACGACCAAGAATCTTTAGAGCTGATAACGTTCATCCAATGCAACACTAAAGAGCCATCAAGGGGAAATATTTTATTCATTCATTCAATGCCTTAAAACCAACTTTGCTACATTTGTTTAACAACGATCGAAACCAATCATTTCGCCAAACAACAATTTTGTATGTCCCTTGGGGAGATAAAGGTAAACTGCGAAACGATCAAGATTTTAATATTTTATGTTTTATTTTTGTTATCTCAATGATCGAATCAGATGCCGGAAAATGGATCGGGCGCTTGGAGAAAGACTGTTTTTTTTTGATGAAATCTCCGACCTGTCACCGGACCTGTCAGGCCCCGTGGGATTTCTTTTATGGGCAGGATCTATGTCCCCAATCTT